GTTATGGATTTTTTGTGTTGAAGAAATTTACAATAAAGGTATTTTATGACGTTCTGTGTTCGTAAATATCTTTTGCAAAACAACACAGAATGTTGACTGACTTTGAAGGTGCTACAAGAAAAAACGAAGTAGGGTTCTGCATTTGGACTAGCAAAGAGGCTTGTCAATCGTTCTCTCATCCTCAATTTTTTTTTTCTTCAATAAGTCGATTACATCTCAGCCTTAAATTTACTGTTTTTTATTTCTGTTTAATTTAATGAGACAATTTCTGTTACAGAATTCTAAATTATGCATTTTTTTTTCCCATGTTAGGGTACTGGGATGCTAGGGGGTTCTTTTTATTCTCTTTTCCACTGCATATTATAACTTAGATGGGTATGCTTCAAGAAGGTTGGTTTTATTCTTGAAGAATACCCATTTGGTTTTAGACATAGTTTATTTAGTTAAATATATGGCTACTGGTGAAATGGATTAGCCGAATATTGCATATGTAATATGCATACAAATTCTTAGTATTGTTGTAAACAGTCAGTTTAAGTGGAGGATTGTCGTATGAAATTTGGTAAACAAATATCTGGAAATTATCTTCATAGTTTCTTAGGTTCCATTTAATTTGGTATTTGTTTTTGTGTGATATATCTCTTAGGGCGTGTCAAATGGTAAAGCTGCAATTAACGGTGTCTTTTTTGTGTTGTAGTTCCACCAGTACCAGGTTGTTCGGGGGAAGCTCCCTACGGCATGTGATGAGCACCACAAGATTTACTAAATGAAGCTCCGGGCCACCAATGAGGCTCGCGCCAAGTCCAAGTTCTGGCATAATCCTTAGCCTTAGCTCGGTCGTACACCTGTGACAAGTCCTACGCGTGCAGACTAACACCTCTAAAGGTCTACGAAACACCCTGTCAAGGGTGCTTGGGTTCCAACATATCCAAGTATCACAAAATTCCAAGTATCCAATTCTAGTATTCCAAATCCGGGGAGGTACATAGGGTAGTGCTTATAGCACTTCAAACTGACATAACTACAATCCATAATCTCATTATCGACAAACCCATATGTACCCCACACATAATCAAGCATAGATAAAAATCCTCGAAAATAGTAATATATATCAACTCAAGATAAATCATAATATGCTAATAACCAAATGTATTTCAATTACTTTATAGAAATATCATTCTTCCACAATTAATTATATAATAAACTTAATAATTAAATAAATCATTATGCATAGCTTTCAGTCATAAAAATAATGTTTATTATTTGAAAACAAAGTTCACTCACAGACAGTCCCACGCTACTTGACCCTGAGAGGGTCCTGCCTGTTGCATACGTTGGGTTGGAATTGTTATTTAAAGACACAAGGGCTAGATTAGAATAAAGCGCTTCAAACGAGAACTTTAAAATAAATTCCTAGGTTTTCCGGGGATTCGAGTGTGTGCATGATGAACAAGAAGTTCTTAAGATCCAACTACGTATTTCGAATGGTGGAATATCCTCAGGAGAATCCTCCTAATAAGGGTAAACTTACTATGCATCAATTCCATATAGATAATATAACTATCTACCAACAATCCACAACATAGAGAACACTGTTTCTTGAATACATAAGTACTTGCTAGAAACCCTCCTGCTTAAAAGGGTCAACCCCAAGAGCCAGAGATGGATACCACACCTGAAAAAAGAAACTTCCAACCAGATTAAATATCATAGTACAAATCAATGTGAATAGACCTCACAAATGATAAAGCTAAACACAGTATGATATCAAAGCTGTAATAGCAGTTTATTACCTGCATTCCTCGGTGGCCATAATCTAACATGAAACTTCCTCAATAAGATTTGTCTTCTCCTCTGATTGACCACATGTAACCCAAAAATAATTCAATAGAATCAGTAACTCCCTCTAACGTTCATCAACCAAATCAAGAAGTGAAAGCTCCCCATTGACACTCTGTATTAAACACCTAGAAAAACATTTATTCAGAGGCATGTGTCTGCTGCAGAGAGCTACATACATCATTCTCAAGAGCATATATACCTTGCAGGCACTTGGGGATGATTTGATATTGCAGTGGTGGCCTGGCAATAGAGAATGAAATCGAAAAGGTTTCTACAAAAAATAATCCATTATCTAAGCTTTTTTTTATTTATTTCTTGTTTATCTTTTTTGATTGATCCTTTGACTTGGCATTGTTACACCTGATATCAGCTGAAGAAAGATAAAAAAGTGCATCGGTGGCCATGATGAGTGTTTGAGTTGCACCTGCATATTAGTAGTTAGGCCTACTTTTTTCATCCAGCTTACTGAAATCTTTCGGGGCAAAAATGGGCAATAAAGGATTCAGGGATGACTGGGATTGTCGTCGTCTTAATGCGAAAGTTCTTGATCCTGATGGTAAAGTTTTGCCAGCTCAAATTTCCAACAAGCGTAAACATCTTGGACTGAAAATGTGGCCGGCAAGCCTCCATATTTGTTGTTCTGGTAGGGTTTAGGGGGAGGTCCAAAACGTGCAGACGTAGTGCACTTCATGAAACACAACGGTATATTTTATTTTTGGTCAAACATGAAAGATAACAGGGTATAGCAGACTAGAGTTGTGCTTAGCTGAAACTTGAGACTAAAACTCTGACCATGTGAGGTGAGGTGAGCCGTTTAACGTTTAACCATAACAAATGAGGAAACTTGAATGAACAAAAGAGACCAATACTCGAATAAATAGATTACAAAAGTAGGACGATACAGCCCATTCTTGAGTTTTGATTACAATAAAAAAGCATATCAAAATAAGTTATGTTTTCATGCCATTACAAAAGCACAGTCAACCAGACCACAAATATCTAATCTTAAATAAGCTAAGACAACACGAACTAGCCCGCAAGGTCTTCTCCTCATAGCATGATTCTTCACTCGACAATTTACCTGTCCCAAAAAATGCATAAAAAACAAAATTTGAGCAAACCCTCCGTAATGAACAAACCGAAAGAGAAGAAAACATTAGACTAGAGTCCAGTAAAACGACAGTAAGATTAAAATAAGTAATCATAAATCCACAAGGATACCAGCCAGCATTGCATATGTAACAAAAACATATAAGATAGATATGTGGATGTGGTAGTGTTCATTTATTCAAAAAAGGCATATATAATGAAGAGAAGTAATTAGGCGTAAAACAACTTACAGAACAAAAGCACCAAGCACATTTGCATGCAGGGTGTATTCACATGGGCGAGATATGTGAGACAGTCTGGTATCGCCGTCAAAGAAGCGAGTATGAATATGTTTGACGTCCCTTCCCTTTGTGGTCGGTGGTGAGATTTCAAAGGTTAACAACATAATGCGCAACTTCTCAGCTTCAGACATTCTAGGTGCTTTAATATATAAGCTCATAATTAGGCAGACTTTCAGACCTTCTATATGAACAAAGCAGTGGCCATATCTTGAATATATATCACGAAAATCAGCAGGCAACTTATCCGCTTCCGCTAGAACTTGCTCCAGTGGCAATTTTTTAATAACAGACACATGATCAGGAGACACAGAGTGGACAACAATGGCATATCCACGTTGTTTCCTCTTATAACTGAACATGAAAGACTCATTGTCATCCATCAGGAGCAAAGCTTTTCCTTCAAAAGGAAGAGCACGATCGGAGAAAAAACTAGGAGTCCCAACTTCTATCCATTTTGGATGTTCCTCTTCACTAGTGTCAAAGCCATATACCATACTGGTCCGAGTCGACAGAAGGATAAAACTATCCACAATTGCACAAGAGAAGTCTCCATAGCTTCCACCAGGCTCGAGAATTGAAGGTGCGGGAAGGGGAGACCATTTCTTAGAGTTGGGGTCGAAAACCTGAAAATATGGAGGCTTTTTATCACATAAGATCGTCTCACCGGAGAGAGCATAGAGTTTCCCCGAAACCTCCATCAGCAGGGGTGTAGGGACTTCACCAAGCAATTTCCCAAACATACGCTCTCGGCCCCTCAGTTTGATCGTGGGATTCGGATCCCGAGTCTCAAATCCATATATAGCTCTACTCGCATCTGGTCCGAATCGAATATGGGTGCACTCGGCCACGGTTGAGAGGCGGGATTTCACACCTCCGCCGAAAACAATTTGAGATCCAAAGACACCGCAACCCATATAGCCGGGAAGATACTCGCCGGTGAGAGAAGCCCGATAGCGTAATTCACTATTGCCCTTGGAGCAAGCCGCGCATTCGGTTCTGGTTGTCGTATCATCCGGATGCTTTAATTCACTACAATCCAACGGGCATTTGCTTCTATCACCATCACCACCAAGAGGAGTAGGATTAGCATTAGTAGGAAGATCGGGATCGAAGCGGCAGGAGCATGATGAGGAAAACAAATCGCTCAATTTGATGGAATTAATAACGTAAGAAACAGTCTCACTCTTCACAACCATGGAACATATATATAAGGACCTCTCATCATTTGGTCCCGTCAGATCTTCCCTGCCGCCGCCGCCTGCCTCCATACACCACTTGCTGCTATGCTAATGGATATCCACCCAAAAGCACTAGGCTAGGTTTTCGATTTCTCAACTTTCACCCTTCCCGCGGCCTTTTTACTATGTTACTATGTTATTCAACCCGAAAACATAATAAGATATTTGGGCCACAGTGCAGGACAGCCCATTGATACAAATATGAGAGTCCGGCCCTGAATATATCTTTGACAAAAACCCGATCACAAACCTGTCATGCTCATGTCCCTTGCATTGCAATATACTTTTTAAAGAAGGGCGGTTATCTAGTGAGAACAGCTATGTGAGAATCTTATGTGAGAACACCGTTGGATATAATCCAACGACTCTGTAAAAAGCAATTGTAAATGAAACACTTGTACTAGGTTGTACTAGAATGAGTCCCTCAACTTGTTCTCTCTCCTCCCTCCTTCCTAAACAGCTGTTACATTTTTCCGCGCTCCCTCGCAATTTTTCCACGCTCCCTCTCTTCTTTCTCTGCCCTCTCAGTTTCTCTCCTTTCAAACTCCTTTTCTGTATTTCTCTCTCAGTTTCTCTGCGTCGATCTCCCTCCTCCTCCTCCTCATCTCTTTCTCTCTCTGTCTCTCTCTGTCTCTGTCTCTCTCTCTCTCTCTTCCCTTTCCCTATCACAATTCAAAAATCGAGGCCCAAAAGCCCTATTTGCTACTGTCATTTGATATCTCTTTCATTTTCCTCTTCGTTGTGTCCCTCTCTTTTCGTGGTGGTGGAGAAAAAGGTAGTAATCTCGCAAAGTCATACTGGTGCTCAAAGATTGGATTTTTACTGCTACCCATCTGGTTGTTCCTGCCGTTCTCTATCTGCATCAATATCTTTAATTATGACTTTTTTTTTCATTTTTGATTACTTGTTTTTCAATTTCTTTTCTTCATTAATTAATTTGGTTTGTTTAGTTTTGGTTCGATTTTGTCCTCTTTAATTAAATTTGGCTGGCCTTGTTTAAAATTGTAATTGGCTTTGAGATTGGACAAAGGTTGGCTTTCGTGATTCTGTGAAAGTTAGTAATCAAGGTTTTAAAAAAATCTTAATCTGTAAGTGTATGTATAGCTATACAGTGTATGGTTCAAATGGATGATTATGATTGGCATTGGTTGTTGTGATTGCCTTAATTGCTATGGTTGCTGTGAGTGCTAAAAAATATGTGCAACTAATTGTCTTTGGCTAGTAAATGAGAAAATAGATAACCCCACCCAATTGGTTTTTTAATTATGGATTTTTGTCTACTATTTGGCTTTCTAATGCTCTCCTTCGTTCTCTATGCAGGTTGTCTTTCCCCTCCAATTTGCATTTGCATTGCAAAATTATTAAGCTGAGAACAAATGTTTGAGTTTATTGTTTTTAAGAATGAAGTTCGTTTATTTTGAGTTCAGTTCTTCTCTTGAATTTTAAGTTCTTTATTGCCTTGTTTCAACTTCTTGATGTATAAGAAAAAATTGGAAACTTTTATTTTTATCCAAATTCTATTACTTGGAGGTATACAATGTACATACATGCTACTTGGTCTTCCAATGTAATCTTGACATTTGTCTCAATTTTCCTCTGTTATTTCTACATCATAATAAACCCATATTCTCTGTTTACTCATGAGTTCAGAGAAAATTCTCAATTTGGTTTACTTTCTTATTTTTGGCATCAGATTTTACCAGAATTGGCTTCTTCATACTTTTCCTACCTTAATTTGATTTTACTTTTATCACTGAAGTAGTGCAGGGAAAAGTTCGGAGAAGTTGATGGAGGCAAGTGTTGAGAGAGAGCAGATACTTGTGGATTAATTGCAGGAAAGCATTCAAAGTCTTGAAAGGCAGTCCTCACGAGTGGAAGAATTGTCCCAGATTTTGAAAAGAGCAAATAATTTCTTGCATTTTGTGTTGCAGAATGCACCTGTTGTTATTGGCCATCAGGTATCTGACTGATACATTGTAATTCCTATGTTTATGTTTAAAATGACCTCACTGATCACTTTTTAAAATTATTTTTGTTGATAATTTTCTGTTTTAGGATAAAGAATTGTTGTATCTGTTTATCTATAATCACGTCCCAAGTTTGCAAGAGGAGGTAATTAATTGCCAGTGAAGTTCTTATTCAAGGTTCGGTAGGATTCCTGTATAACTTCAATGTAATTTAAAAGGAGGTGATTACTGCCTTGCTTAAGTGACACTCTGACACTAAACCACCTTAATTGTATCATGTTCTTTCTTCTTGCCAGCACATTATAGGAAGAACAGATGTTGAGATTTTTACCGGGGCCGGCGTTAAGGAATCTCAAGACTTCAAGAAGGAGGTTCTAGAAAAATGGTTACCTTCCAAAAGGACCATTACATATGAGACACCATTATTTGGGTCAAAAACATTTTGGATACATGTGGAGCCCGTCTTCAGCAAGGCATGAGAGACATTTGGTATAAATTACACGGGGATAGATGTCACTGATCAGGTAGTTGCATTTTGTATGTTTTAGAGTTCAATTCAAGACTTTTCTTTTGATCACTAAAGGGTATTTGTGTTTCTTTTGCACAAACAACAGGCGAGGAAGAGAGAAAAGATGGCAAAGCTTAGTGAGGAAATCGCCGTCCAAAAAGCCGAGGAACTTATAGTAATTTTACGTATATTTTTATAATTTTTAAAAATCATAAATTTTACAAGTAATGCAATAAAATAATAGCCAAATGACACAAGTTAGAGTCTCAATGCTGTAGTATCACTTGTTTGCCACCAAAATATGTTCCGTAAAAGCTTTAAAAGGATTCACTAGAGCTTCAACATCGCTTCATTTCCTATTCAATAAGGCTTCAAAATACTATTTTTATTTTTTGACTAAGAAGTCTTCATTAGTATTTTTATGAATTTTTTTAGATGAACTCAAAAGACATAGAAAGTGTCAACTTGAGTTTGTAGAAATTTTTTTGGTGTGTATTTTTATGCTATTTAATGAATTATTATGAATTTTTGAAAGTTAAAGCATTCAAAAATAGTAATAAACGAAAGAGATTGACAAGTGGCAGCACTTGAATAATGCATCGTTAGTGCTTCTAACGAGTGTCATTCTCACGTAGCGCCATGTGTCATGAGATGTTCATTTTTATGTCTTTACCTTAAAAAATTGACAAAAAAAAGTTAGAAAATTACACCAACAACAAACTTCTTGTGACATTATCTTTGACTATCATGCGAGAAAAATCCAAACTTGAATTTGGTAAATTTTAAGTAATAATTGGAGGAAGAGTTGTAACACGGAAGAGTAATGATCTCCAACATACTGTTATTGTTAGTATAGATGCAAACATGACTTTGCTAAATTATTTGAGATTTTTATGAATTTATTATGATTTTTAGAAATCAATACACATGGCAGCTTGATGGGTGCGTCATCAGAGTTTCAATATGTATCGTTATCCCATAGCTCCACGTGTCATTAATGTTTCATTTTTACGAGTTTACCTTTAAAAAAAATTCAGGAAAAATCATTAAAAAAATAGAAAAATACACCGAAAATTTCTAAAAATTCCTTGCTGCATGGTCTTCAACTCTGAAGCGTGAAAATTGAAAATTGACTTTGGAAAATTTGAGAGAATAATTAGAGGAAGAGTTATAGTGATGAAGAGTGGCGATTTTCAACTTAGTGTTATTGTTAGTATGGAAGCAAACTTGAGTTTAAGAAATTATTTAAATTTTTCTCTAAGTCAAATTTATATTTTACAATTGAAAAGATGAAGAAAATGTCGCAAGGAGTTTGTGGCAATTTTCGGTGAATTTTTCAGATTTTTTTTAAGAATTAACTATGATTTTTGGAAGTCAAAACATTGTAAAATAGTAATAAATGGAAGAGAATGACATATGGCAGCGCCTGAAGGGTGCACCGTCAGCTTTTCCAACGGGTGTCAGTATCTCATATCGCCACATGTTATTAATGTTTCATTTTGTGAGTTTATCTTAAACAATTCACGAAAAATCATTAAAAAATCAGAAAAAGACACCAAAAATTTCAACATATTCCTTGCAACATTTTCTTCGATTATGATACTCGAAAATCAAAATTTGACTTTGGAAATTTTGAAGTAATAATTGGAGGAAGAGTTGTACTCATGAACACTAGTGATTTTCAATTTAGTGTTATTGTTAGTATGGAAGCAAACTTGACTTTGTTAAATTATTTGAATTTTTCTCTTAGTCAAAATTATATTTTAAGTCTCAAAAGATGTTGGAAATGTCACAAAGACTCTAGGGTATTTTTTGGTGAATTTTTAAGATTTATTATGATTTTTGGAAGTCAAAATATTGGAAAATAGTAATAAATGGAAGAAAATAATACATGGCAGCACCTGATGGGTGTGTCGTCAGCTTTTCCAACGGGTGTCAATATCTCATAGCGCCACATGTCATTAATGTTTCATTTTTGTTTGTTTATATTAAAAAATTTAAGAAAAATCATTATAAAATCAGAAAAATACACTGAAAATTTATACATATTCCTTGCAACATTATCTTCAACTATGATACTCGAAAATCAAAACTTGACTTTGAAAAATTTGAAATAATAATTGGAGGAAGAGTTGTACTCATGAAGACTAGTGATCTTCAACTTAGTGTTATTGTTAGTGTGGAAGCAAACTTGATTTTGTGAAATTATTTGAATTTTTCTCTTAGTCAAAATTATATTTTAAGTCTCAAAAGATGTTGGAAATGTCGCAAGGAGCTGAGGTATTTTTTGGTGAATTTTTCAGACTTATTATTAATTTTTTATGATCTTTGGAAGTCAAAATATAGGAAAATAGTAATAATAGAAGAGAATGACACATGACAACGGCTGATGGGTGAGTCGTCAGCTTTTTCAACGGGTGTCAGTATCTTATAGCCCCACGTGTCATTAATCTTTCATTTTTGTGTGTATATCTTAAAAAATTCACAAAAAATAATTAAAAATTCAGAAAAATACACCGAAAATTTCTACAAATTCCTAAAGACATTATCTCGGACTATAATACTCAAAAATCAAAATTTGATTTTGAGAAATTTGAAGGAATAATTGGAGGGAGAGTTGAAGTGATGAAGACTAGTGATCTTCAATTTAGTATTATTGTTAGTATTGAAGCAAACTTGACTTTGTAAAATTATTTGAATTTTTCTCTAAGTCAAAATTGTATTTTAAGCCTCAAAAGATGTTGGAAATGTCGCAAGGAGTCCGGGATTTTTTTATTTATGAAATTTTCAAATTTATTATGATTTTTGGAAGTCAAAATATAGGAAAATAGTAATAAATGAAAGATAATGACACATGGCAGCGGCTGATGGGTGCGTCGTCAGCTTTTCCAATGGGTGTCAGTATCTCATAGCTCTACGTGTCATTCATGTTTCATTTTTATGAGTTTATCTTAAAAAATTCACAAAAAATAATTAAAAATTCAGAAAAATACACCAAAAATTTCTACAAATTCCTTGCGACATTCTCTTCAACTATAATACTCGAAAATCAAAAGTTGACGTTGAAAAATTTAAAGAAATAATTGGAGGGAGAGTTGTAGTGATGAAGACTAGTGATGTTCAACTTAGTATTATTGTTAGTATTGAAGTAAACTTGACTTTGTGAAATTATTTGAATTTTTCTCTTGGTTAAAAATATATTTTAAGTCCCAAAAGATGTTGGAAATGTTGCAAGGAGTCCGGGGTATTTTTTGGTGAATTTTTCAGATTTATTATGATTTTATTATGATTTTTGGAAATTAAAATATTGAAAAATAGTAGTAAATAGAAGAGAATGAAACATGGCAGCGCCTGATGAGTGTGTCATCAGCTTTTCCAACGGCTGTCAGTATCTCATAGTGGCACATGTCATTAATATTTTATTTTTGTGAGTTTATCTTAAAAAAATCCCAAAAAATTATTTAAAAAATCAGAAAAATACACCGAAAATTTCTACAATTCCTTGCGACATTATCTTCAACTATGATACTCGAAAATCAAAATTTAACTATGGGAAATTAGAAGTAATAATTGGATTAAGAGTTGTAGTGATGAAAACTTTATTTCAATTTTTCTCTTAGTCAAAATTATATTTTAAGTCTTACAAGATGTTGGAAATGTCACAAGGAGTTCATATATTTTTTTGGTGAATTTTTCAGATTTATTATGAGATATAAAAAAATTCAAATAATTTCTCAAAGTCAAGTTTGTTTCTATACTAACTACCCACCAAGTTTAACTCTTCCTCCAACTACTAATTCAAATTTTCCGAAGTCAAATTTTGATTTTCGAGATAATATCGCATGGAATTTGTAGAAATTAAAGATGTATTTTTTCGATTTTTCATTAATTGTTTGTGAATTTTTAGAGAGAAACAAACACAAACAATTCATTAAATAGCAGAAAAACACAAGCACCAAAAAATGATACAAACTCAATGTGACACTTTCCACGTCTTTTGAGTTCATCCTAAAACATTCATAAAAGTACTAATGAAGACTTCTTAGTCAAAAAATAATAACAATATTATGAAGCGATGTTGAAGCTCTAGTGAATCCTTTTGAAGTGTTTACGAAAGATATTTTGAGGGCAAACAATTAATGATGCAGCATTGCAATTAAGACTTGTGTCATTTCTCTATTATTTTTAAAATTTATAATTTTTAAAAATTATAAAAATATACATAAAATTGAAGTTGAAGTTGAAGTTGAAGTTGTTTTATGCCTACATAACTCTGCATTATATATGGGTAATCTATTCTATGATGCAGTTATATCATATTGTGTGTTTGTATATTCATACATGTATATATTGCAGTGCTTTAGTCATATAACAATCTGATTGTAATACGAGATATGCATTTTAATATTGCTTCCTTGTTGTACCTTGGTGTCAAATCTCTGTGGGTTACAGTAACACATACAAGAATGTGCATTATGTTAGTGTGGCACAACTTTTGCCACATATCTGTCTTATATGTTTTTGTTCAATATGCAATGCCAGCTAGTATCCTGCCATTTCAAATGCTAGCTGTGGAATTATGATTACTTATAATAATCTTACTATTGTTTTTACTGGACTCTAATCTAATGTTGATTTCTTCTCTTTCGTTTGTTCATTATGGAGGGTTTGCTCAAATTTTGTTATTTATGTAAATTTTTGGGACAGGTAAATTGTCAAGAGAAGATTCGTGCTATGAGGAGAGGACCTTGCAAGCTAGTTAGTGTTTACTGTGCTTTGGTAATGGCAAGAAAACATAACTTATTTAGATATGATTTTTTATTGCAATCAAAACTCAAGCATGGATTGTTTTTTGTAGAAACCTTTTCAGTTTCATTCTCTATGGCCTGGCCACCACTTCAATATCAAATTAGTGCTCTTATAAAGCTTAAGCAACCAAAACAATACAATTTCTGGATGATGATTGCTTGAAAAAAAAAACTGAAATCAAAGTTGACGTATGCCTTAAAATCAGCTTCATCAGTTGCAGCTACCTGCTCATCAGCAGAAGAACCAACTGGGCTTAGCTATAACAAACATCACCAATTGAATAATCAAAATTTTTGCAATCAATCTGTCCCTCCAACAAGTATATTTTGCACTCACCACTGAGCAGGGATATTGATGTCTTCTTTCCCATCTGGACTCCTGGTTAGGCTTCTGTTCGCTTTCTGAATGGTAGCATGTTCTCCTACGAGTTTATTTTTTGTTTGTTTCTCACTCGGTGCACCTAGCTTCCTCATCCAAAATTATGAATAAAATCTTCCCCATCCAAAATTATGAATGCATCATACCACATGCTTGAAGGTTTTCCATTAGGCGTAAAACTTAAATATACCATCTCTTCCAGATCTTCAAGATCACTGATAAGGAACACTTGTGAATACATAATGGACAACTAAATAGAGACATTCAAGAGCGAGAGAAAGAAATGGTATAATTAGTAGTTTTAGAATACTTTCTTCTCACTCAAAGAAACGGATCTTAAATATACATTTCCTGGTATGTATCTTACCAACAGTATCTTAACGTTAAGGACAAGTAAATATCTAAAAAAAACCTCGTGGGTTGGGTTGTTTGTATCAAATGAGTTGAGCAAATTTATATCAGGAACTGATCAGTCTGGTCATAAAAAAACTTATACAGAAGTATAGATGCGGGCTATATGACGTACGTACGCTCCTTGAAGGCAACTGACAGCGGCGGCGGTGGGGGCATGGAAGATCTGACGGTACCATTAAGGTCGAACGATGAGAGGTCCTTATATATATGTTCCATGGTTTTGAAGAGAGAGACTGTTTCTTACGTTATCCATTCCATCAAATTGAGCGATTTGCTTTCCTCATCATGCTCCTGCCGCTTTGATCCCGATCTTCCTACTAATCCTACTGCTATTGGCGGTGATGGCGATAGAAGCAAATGCCCGTCGTGCTCCAAATCGCTCAAAGCTCCCCGACGACGACAAGGAGGATTGTAGTGAATTAAACCATCCGGATGATACGACAACCAGAACTGAATGCGCGGCTTGCTCCAAGGGCAATAGTGAATTATGCTCAACTGTTAACATTGAGGCAGGGGCTACAGCCATGGCTCGGGAGATTCACCAACCCCGACAGCCGGCCTTTGATTGTTTCAGGGCCCTAGTTGATGCCAACAATTGGTAACAACAAAATATGGTAATATCCTCTCCATTGTCACCACACCAAACATGCAACTGATATGCAGGAGGACACTTGGATTGGATGCCCTCTTATTTGTAGACATCTAGAGGAGAGATGGCTTAGTTTATACAATGATATAATAAGAAAGACACACAAGCTCATTGAGATCCATGACGAGCAATGAGAAAAAAAAGAAAACAAGAAGGTATATCCTTGATTTGTTTGTATCTATTTGTTGATTGCGGTGTGTTATTGTTTGGTGGGGCTTTGCTTGCTCTTGATTTCTCTGTTTGCCTTACTTGCTTTTGGTTTGGACTTGAGTGTTTCTGTTGTGAACTCAGCTATCACATAGAGTGTAGGCAACAACGAAAAAGTATTAACAGTCATATATATATATATATATATACATATATATATATATATATATATATA